GGTGGGAGGATCCGTGAATCCCCATAGATATGCAGTAGCATGAAGACTGCAGCCTTGTGTGCATGAACTACCCCCTTCTGCCATTGTCTATGATGGCGGGCTTGAGCGCGAATCCGAAAAGTCGGGCGAATAAAGTTCTTGCTCCGGAAGATGAAGATGCGACCACTGGGACAAGAAGTTTATTTGCCTGACGTTTCGGATTCTCACTCGAATCCATCATCAGAGACATTCGCATTGCGAATGTCTCTGATGATGGATTCGAGTGAGAATCCGAAACGTCAGGCAAATAAACTTCTTGTCCCAGTGATCGCATCTTCATCTTCTGAACTGCTACCTGGGACTCGCCTGTTCGCTTCTATCAGTTCTTGCTCCATCGATCGTGTCTCCTTCTTCACGACCGCTTCCTGGGAGTCGTCTCTTCGCTTCTATTTGTGCCGCATTATTGACCCGACATCGTCTGGTAGAATAGGCGTAAACTGTTTGAACTGTCTGCATTAACCCATTATAGCCGCTGGAGTTTCTACTATAAAGCACATAGTGAAAGCTGGGGGACCCATTGATGAGTCGGAGCCCTCCCAGCTGTGTCATGCAGCTGCAGAATATCGGCAAACCACGTGTCTGGACCTTTAGCTAGCACATGTGTTGTCAAGTAGGGTATTTCCTGCTATCTCACTACGCACGGGACAATTGAGTGCCCCGATCCATCCGGACTGCAGGACGGAGCAGTACCGGTGGTCCACGCAGGAGGACTAGCGAGTCCGTTAACACAGTACTGAGAGCGCTGTAACATGACTAACTGACTCGGGTTTCGGAAACTAATAAACCTTGTCACTTCAGCGAAGGCATGTCGTCTCTCCGGAATTTTCTCTGATCAATAGCATCATCCTTACCCTTAACACTCCCTTCGGGCGTGAAAGTGCCCTTTCTCCAGGTATATCACAATCTAGCTAAAACCTGAGTGACAAGGCAAGGAAGGTTGTAGATCCGCACATGGAAATTCAGAAAAAAAACCCGAAGATTTCTACCAAGACAGCGTAGGGTTTAGAGTAGCTGACGTTAAAGTTCGTGATGATATCCTTCTCTCACTCAATACTGATTGAGAATCTGTCTCTATTAGCTTGCCGTCAACCAACTAGATCTCTGAAAGAATAAAAATAGGAACTTCGAAAGCGCACGTGAAGCCGGGTTCATGGAATCAAAAGCTGTTGACTGCGTTGGAGGATGAATGGAGTGAAACGCTGACGACTATGTGTCTCGTCGTTTTCCCACCCAAGGTGTTGATTTCTGACATCACAGTCGGAAAAACAAAAGTCAGATGAGTTGGACAAAACTGTGTGAAACAAAAGCCCAATGTATACCGGTCAGGAGGAGCGGCCGCAAAAATATCATGTAGATCAACTTGCTTCATCTTTGGCTGCTTCTCTTAAGCTTGATTTTGAATTGGTGTTCCGCTTTTGAATTCGATACCGGACTCCGCCATTATTTTTACGTGGTTGCTAATAAACTCTACATAAAAAGCTCTGCCGTTATTGAGACCAGTGTTTTCAATTACTTTTTGCCCGATCATTTCAAACTCATGTTTAGTTTGCCTTGTTTAATTTCCGAGGAAACTAATATACGAACTTGGAGCAAATCTTTCGAAACCGACCTTTTCAGACATGGTCCAAAGTTTGATATGAATATTTGAGCCGAAATCTATCAGCTACTGCGGAAAAACCGCTTAATATTCAAAAATCAAGTTGGAAGTGGAGTTCATATACCAGAAAACACACGGGGAAAGCTGGGGGACCCACTGACGAGCCGAACCCCTCGCAGCTGCGTCAGGCAATGGCATAAGGTCGGCGAAACACGCGTGTCTGGGCTTTTAGCTAATATCTGCATTTTTAGAACGGTAAATCATTGCGCTATTCATGTCTAGTAGCCTACCTTTCTCCGGCCGTCCGACCTCAGCGAGACTAGTCTCTTTGGACTGCGCATGCATATACAGTGCGTGACCGATCTCATGAAATATTGGCCGAAATTCTGGAAGGCGTTTCCGATTAGGAAAGACTACTTAAGTGGGGTTGTCATACTGATTATAATGCAGCATAACCCTATAACATTTCGGACTCGCCAGGATGTCGACTTTTGAATGCCCTTCTTTTTGACCTCCTGCAGAAACCACATTCGGGAAAAAGCGACTACCCATGTAGCATGCATTTTTCCTATTGATTTTCGATGGTCTTATAAATTCAAATATATTGTGTAGAAAACATGCACAAAATATGCTTTCTTTTGCTCATTTTGTAGGAAATCACATTTTCTTCATGTTTTACGCCCGAAGAAAGTGCACATTCGGGTTTTAAAATTGTTTTCCGATTCCCGACTAATTTCCAGCCTGATCTGCCATTGCATCGGCGTTTAGCAATGTCAGTCTACAAGGTGCATGCTTTCGGCGTAAGGAAAATCACATATTCCTCTATGCCTTTAAGAAGATTCCATATAGAGTTCATGAAAATTGGCAATGGATCTGGACTGTGTTGTAGATTTCATGAGGGGCATTAGTAAGCAGGCATGTGCGGTCTTGCATGCATGGACATCGTAAGGTCTTAAAAATCTCACATTTAGAAACTTTTTTTAAAACCCAAATATACACTTTCTTCAAGCATAAAATATGAAGATAAGGTGATTTCCTGCAAAATGAGCAAAAGAATGCATATTTTGTGCATGTTTTCTATACAATATATTTGAATTTATAAGACCATCGAAAATCAATAGGAGAAGTGCATGCTACTTAGTCAGTCATTTTTTACCGTTGTGGTTTCTGCAGGAGGTCAAATCGAAGTCCATTCAAAAGCCGACATCCTGGCAAGTCCGAATTGTTATAGGGTTATGCTGCATGATAATCAGTATAACAACCCCACTTAAGTAATCCTTCCTAATCTGAGACGCATTCCAGAATTTTGGCCAACATTTCATGAGATCGGACACGCACTGTACTGCGCCCATACTGCCATCCAAGTTCTGCCATACTCGTCTGGCTAACTGGAATCAAGGCCACTGCAGACGATTTTTCCTTCCTCGTTTACCAGTGACAGGGCGTGTCTCCGCCAAGGAAGCTTTCGCAGTTCAGTAGTTGCTAGCACCATCGCAAGCAAACGGCGTAATAATGTTCTTTGGGTTTACCAGTTGATTTTGTAATACTTCAACAGTTGCCAGCTTGTCCGAATGCGACCTTTCGAAGTTTTCGTCCCCGTAATCTACACATACCATGGCCCTACTCGAAATATCTTGTCATATTGTCAAGTGACCTTGGGCCAAGTCAAACGGCACATCTAGACAAACCATAATGGTAACTAGGAGTCAAATGACCCTATTCAGCAACCAATCTAGATTACTTAATGAAAGTTTATATAATCATCAAGCCCACCTTTAAAATAGATGATTGATTTTATTTTCTCTGGGAATTCTGCGATATGTAGACGTGACTTTTAAGCGAAGTTTGTCAAGTTTTATGTCGCAAACCCGTGCTTACACTTACTCTCCTCATTTGATTCTAACAGTAACGAGAACGCTTGCAAAAAGAGACAGATAGACTAATCAGTGCGACAAGGACAAAAAGTTTTTAAAACATCAGTCCAAATTCAACCAAAATGTCCCCTTATCTCAGATATCTTGCATCTGTCTCTCCTTACACCGAACGACGATACCTCCCTGGGGATATGCACAGACAACCATACAACACAGTGCGGAACTTAGATCTCGTAAGATGCGGATTGAGTTGGCTTCAATAAAGCACCTGAATATCTGAGCAGTTTATTTGCAAATGGTGGGTCAGAAAGATATCGTGTAGAGAAGAGCTTGCAGAACATAACTGATAAAGAGAAGTCTCTGTGCGCGGCAAAGTGCCTGTCTTTTAGGAGACTTCACTGAGGATCTCGGGCAGAACGTAGGAGCTTGACAACATTGTGGTGTCCTATCCAACTCAGCTGGCTGTATGGTGTTAACTCTAGTGCGGAGGAAATTAGCAGTTGACATCAACAAACAACTTTTCCTTTTCAGTTTTTTAGTGGAAAAGGAGGCTTTCGCAATTCAGTAGTCTCTAGCACCACCGGAAGTGCACAGTAGGCTTGTATTATGAAGCTGGTTTGTGAAGAACACGATGTACTAATTTTTTGGGCTTACGAGTTAATTCAACTGTCACCACCTTGTCCTAGTGCGACTTTTTGAAGTTTCTGTACCCGTAACTTTCGAATGCCGCAACTGCGTTTAAAATATCTTCCATTCTTGTCAGGTGACCTTGGACTAACTTAAATAACATATTTAAACGAGAAGAAATGTGAACTAGATATTAAATGTCATAGTCAACGATCTTTCTTGGCTACTTACTGACAGTTTGCATAAACAACCACTACTTTCGTAGTTGAACTGGACGATTTATTTGATTCCATATGTTTTTCTCCGACAAATTCTTTTAGTTTCCAAGGCGAGTTTTGTACGTTTTAAGACACAGATCTGCCCACACGCTTTTCTCATCATTTGATACTTATAACAGCAAAAGTGCTCGTTAATAGAGACCTATAACTAACTTGGCCAAAAGGTATCCAAACAACAGTCCACGTTGAACCGAAATACCCCCTACCCCCTGCCAACTTAAACCTGATTCCACCTGTAGAGAAGGTGATACCTGATAGAAGCGAACAGGCGAGTCCCAGGTAGCAGTTCAGAAGATGAAGATGCGATCGCTGGGACATCGCAGTGATCGCATCTTCCAGTGATCGCATCTTCATCTTCTGAAGGTGATACCTTTCTGTGCATATCACGAGCACTCATGGAACAAAACGCGAAATCTGAACTTCGTAGGATGCTGCCTAAGTCCGCTTCAGAAATAGGTTCTGAAAGAGGCAACTGAATATGCAAAGAGTTTATTTGCAAATGACGGGACAGAATGGCATCGTGTAGGAAAGGGCTTGCAGAGCATAGCCGATAAGGAGAAGTTCCTGCACGCGAGTGTCTATCTTCTAGGAGGTTTCATTGAGGATTTCGGGCAGGACGTAGGTGCTCAAAAACATGGTAGTAGGGTTTCCCGTGGCCTCGGAATTGTGGACTCCAACCGAGGATGCTACGTCCACGTGGGTGTACTTAATCTGATCTTCTTCCGCTGCTGTGTTGGAATACTGAAAGGCAAGATAACAATAACTCGCAACAATAACTCGCGCCAGCATCAAGTTCAAAAACAACTTCAACAATTCAGAGCTGGCAGTTCGACGATCACGAGCGACGACCTTCACGGAAGCCTCATGAGGTGGGCGTAGAAATGAATTGCCTGTGGCCGTGTTTATGGGAAAGCAGACTTTGGGAAGAATGACATAACCGACAAAGATAAGGGAGACTGGAATGGCCATCTCTGGCTTATTGGCTGTTGTCAGCCAGTTATAGCCAACCCCGAACTGTGGAACACCTAAGGCTCGCTCCCTCGACTTGTTGGTTAGAAGTCCGACGCCTCTAACCACTGAGCGACGGGCTCATTGTTCTGTCGGTTGCGAACGGGTGGAGGGGTGTTCACCGATCGTGTTACGGAACTCACTCGTCCTGCTGTGCCTTGGGGCTCTATCTCTCTCTGAAGCGTCTAACTTCTAGGGAACGGGTCGCACACATCACGGGATCGAGCCCCAGGCGTTCCACACTTCGGGATTGGGTATGACTGGCTGACGAAGACTACTAAACCAGAAATGACCACTTCAGTCTCCCATGTCTTTGTCGGTAATTCTACTCTGTATATATTATGCTTCGCTGTGCAGCTGCCCGTTGGGCTCGAGGGAGAGAGCGCCCGTAAGACCCAATGGGACGAGTGAGTTCCGTACCACGATCGGTTAGCGTCCCTCTATGAAAGCAGACTTTCGGTGCAACTATCTTATTCTCTCCTTTTGCACTTACTTTTCTTCGATAGTAAGCCGAACTCAAGAAACCTAGGCACAACTTTTAAGGCTTAGTGATAGATTCAGGCCCATCGGATTTACTCTGGCGAGGAATGTGGTAGTTTTTTGTAGAAATGGATTTCATAGTGTCTGAGTCTCAACCAACTGATGATGAGACTGGTATCTAATGGTGGATGACTTGTGGAAGCCTCTGTGTAAGGAAAACCGGACGCATATACCTAGGGAAGCCCGATAACCACATGTTAAAAACCATTTTGGCTCCCGTTGTAGGCCAACACACCTTCACCGTAGGCCGTTGCGGGGGTAGACGCGTTAGTGTGCTAACCTGACAGCTTGAAGTAAATGTACCCTCTCTGTCGCTGCTGACACGAATGGAATATGCTGGTCCTCAGGACGCAATATATGGCACATCGTCTTCATCTATTGTGAAAAACTCGGTGCCTCGGTGGGATTCGAACCCACAACAGTAAGAGGAAGGCTATGGTACAGCCAACGTGCTAGCCACCTGCGCAAGAAGGTCTCACCAGACGACGCGAGTTCAAAACACCTATGGACCGCCTAAAAGTGCAATTTTACGACCTCTTTGTGTCAACAATTTGCCGCAGGAGTCTAATTTGCGGAAGACGACCATCTGGAGACCGTCTTACGTGGGTCAGTTAAAGAGCAAACAGTTGACTCACTTTGCTCAGGCCACTGGCCATGATCATCCATGCAGCCGGATACTGATGTCCACGATACTTAATCGTATTAGCATGTGTATTTCGCTGTTGCAGGTCCTCGTACTCCGACACGGGGTAGCAGACTTCGTAATCTTCTCGTCGAAGGCTGGAGATCTGAAAGTGTGCGGTTAGGTGGTGTCAAATGAAGATCATTTTAGATATCAGTTTAGAAAACAACCGGTCCCAACCTTATTTGTCTTGTCATAGTGGCGTTTTCCATTGTTTCTCAATAACTTTTTACTGATTTAAGCGCTTATTCGATAACGGTAGGGTGTGGGACCCCACGTAGCAGGAAACTCCAATTCCGTGTGACTGTACACATGACTTATTATCCGCCATTCGTTTTGCTTAAATACCCTTAACTGTCTGACTGAATGTAAACTTGCCATCAGCTGCTTACTTAAAGTTCGTTATTTTACGAAAATTGTTTTTTGTCAATTCTTTTAAAATCACCGCACTCACTTTCTTTGCCATGTTACGGCATACGATTAGACTTTCGGCAGGCATTCTGCCCGCTATTCGTCCTGGCGTCGCCACTCCCGTAAAAATCTCCCTACCATCATTCAACGTATTACACGGTTCACAGGCTACCTCAGGTTGCTGGGGGTCCTAAACCCTACCGTTGCCGCTTGTTTTATGGGGTTATCGTGAAATTGTGGTTTTCAATTGCGTGAAGGATATTTTCAACAGACCTATTTGGCCAAACTCCCCTGCGTCTGCAGATCTGGCCGGTTTGCGGGACGACATATGGGTGTGCCGTTTTGTCCTGGGCTCTGCTTTCGAATCCCGTGGGCTGTCACCAATGTATTTCAATGTTCATATGCGGTCCTACAGTAAAGTTAGAGTGTTGGATTCGGACCAACTTTAATTTATTTTTTTCTCGACGGAAGCCATCCGAACAGGAGCTCATGTCGTGACTAACACAGTCTTGAGTCCAAGGACTGACAGATCATGAACTCACATCGAAGGCTCTCCCTGGTGGAATTGAGTTAACTGGTACTCGAGGGAAAATTAATCAAAAAATCCATCCCTGCCACTCTTGTCTGGGTTAAAATTGTTTTTCAGTTAAAGACAATTACTCGATCCTAATGCTTAGTAAACCAGTACCGCATGGAGTTCGTGTGCGCAGACGTTTACTACAGGTTAAAAGTGTATTTTTTGGCATTCGGAAGGTTCTTTTTCCTCATTTAAAAATTGGAACTGGCTGAATGTCTAATGGACTGGCGCGTTGGCGAGGACAGAGAAGTTGCGAAGGCCACAACCAGATGCAAGAAGGTATAAAGACTACCTACTGTGACACAAAGGAATGTATGGGATTAAAACCCAAGTCCCATTAAACGTCGGTTCATTGCTGCAGGTTGACGGTCAAAAATGAGTCATGGCTGGTCATTCTCACACCTCTGTCGTGTCTGGTATCACCTTACTGTTAGTGATTGTTCGCACAAAATCCGACCACTCTGAATACAACGTCTTGGGTCCCTGCGCACAAGGGGAAGAACTTCTTCTGCTTCTTAATAAGGATATATCGGGAAGTGTAACCGTCGCATGCTGCAAGTATCCTCGATCTAATACGGTGCGGGGCTCAAAATATACCGCAGGAAGGCCGCAAACAGGTCAGAAATAACCCTGACAGTCTCACGGTCGCGGAGAGCACGGCTTCCGGGATCTTAACCAACCCCCGCCATGATCGTGGCAGCTCGATGGAGACGCAAATGCGCTTAACGTACTTCTTCTCCCGACCAGGCTCGACCAGTGGGGACGGGATCCGGTTGAAGAAAATCCTTCGAAAATCCTTTATATGGCGGGCATGCGCGTGCTTTTGATAAATCCTCGTCGGGCCAGTACAATTATGTGGGAACGAGATGCAAAGTAAAAGATGTGAGGGACGAAAGAAATCGATTACTATTCGTCTTTTCATACAAGCGGGGTGTGTGAATGGGAGGGGGGAGGAGGCAATAAGTGGCAGTGAAGGTTAGGTGAAGCCGTGTCCCAGAGGGAGGGGAGGAACGGGGGCGCGGAGACATGCCTGCAATTAATCGATCTTTGGCCACGGTAGACGCTGAGCGTGGGGGTGGTTCTTCTGCGCGCATGGGACCGGCCTCCGTAGCCTAATGGCAGTCGCTTCTGCCATCACTGACACATTCTGCCTCCTCTCTGCCACCTGTTCCACGCCCCCACTCTTGTGAAAAGACGAACCGTAATCGATTTCTCTTATAGCTCATAAGTTTTACTTTGCACCTATTTCCCTATGAAAATTCACCAAAAACCTGCCTGTCTTCGTCGAATGGTCTTCTGAATTTCTTCATGGAAATTTTTGGATCCTTTAGTTGTCCGCAGGCATACATGAGAAACAAATAACTAAACCACTGAGAAAAACTGTAAGTACTTGATAGAAGTTACAAGGGACTCTTCACTACAGTTATTAATTAAGGTCGAATGAAGTTATGTAGCACCACCTGAAGTAAACAAACCCTAGTCACCTCTAATACGGGACCGGTGGTAATAGGGATTTTACAAGTGAGGCCATGGAACACACGGGCAACGAGGTCAAGTAGTTGTATGCAAAAGAAAAGCTATTGGGAATGCGCGGTTGTACTTTGAATGGTTGGGAAATAGTTGCGCCAACCCCGAAGCCTAACCCTAACCTCTAACTATACCACCTAATCCTAAACGCTAACCCCTTACCCTAACCCCAAACCCTTAACCCCAACCCCAACAGTGTTGTGTCCACTAGATGGGGCTACCAAACCACATTCTACCTTAATTAAAGTTTATAAGTAGAATTTAACTACCAGCGGATTAAATTGTCGGTCGATGCAATCGGAATGCCGATGTCCAAGAAGCAGCAGATGCAGCTGCCGAAATGAGAGCTCCATCCTATAAATACTGTACTTTTATCTGCCACTGTCTCTGATTATGCTTTCGAATGAGGATCGAAAAATTTAGCAGAGAGCAATTCTTGTATCAGCGCTTAGCATTTCCTTTTTCACACAAACTGTTTTCTTATTTGCTCACAACGGATACGCACAAAAGCTACAAATGAACGCTTTCGCATCATAAATACTCACCTCGGTGATGTCAGCGATCAGTGCGCCACCATCGCGCAGCTTGAATGATTCACCAGTCTTTCTGGCTGGTCCATTGTCCATAACGGCCTATAACATAAACACAGGATAAATAGAAACAGACTAGTTTTCAAGATAGTCGTGATACCCATGAAATTCGGCGATCACTGTCACCAAGCTGGTCATCATGCCAAAAGAGGAACTGTGAAGGGAACTAATCCAGGTAACCAGGAAGGTCAGGGTCACAGGCATTCGGTTCAGACCATAATACAATAGATGAGTGTATGGTCGCTATCTTGGAGCAAACGGTCCCTACTTACTGATCGTCTCCGAGGCCTCCGGGGGAATCGATGCAAAACGATCACTGTGAAGTTATGGAACGAACCAGCAGACGTCATTCCCACAGACTAGAAACATTTCACAGTTAACTACGACCACAAGACCAATTTCCGGACGGCGAATGCACCCAACAATGTCATCCTCATCAACAAAGCCAAGCTCCTCCGCCACTGATGATGTTCGGCCTCGTGAGGAAGAAAGCATGCTTTCATCATATTTTGCCCTCTACTGGACTCTACAGAACTGTTAGGGCCTGTAGTGTGTAACCTTCGGTCAGGGTGGCGTGCGTCACACAGCCAGGGTGGTCTCTGGTTGAGGGGGTCTCGGCCATCCGCAAATGCTGACTTATTCAGGCACTCGAATTTAAAAATCCTAAGCCTCTCGTTCCTCGAGATGTAGAATAGCATGCTGACAAGTTGCGTCCGAATCGGGTGTTTCAGGTTAAAACATGATAAAGACCCAGACTGTGTACTTTGACAGCGTGTATATTCAGTTCTGACAAAGTTGTTTACCCTTTCTCAGTCATCGAAGACTGCATATGAATTCGTAAACTGATGGTGCATCAGGAAAAAATTCATTCATCCGAATTAAATTCGCAAACTGACTGTCAAATATCGGTCAAGGAAGTACTAAAGTCCTAATACGAATAGACGAGGAATAAAAATAGAAAGTAGTCCACTTAAAGTGCACTATTAACTTCTTCTCTAGACATTCACGGTCACTTACGGAAGACTACAGAGAAATATACCAAATCAAACAGCCTACGCCTTAACTCCGTTTTCAAATGCCGGCATCAAAGCAGATTTTTATTAGAGTGACTGCCGAGAAGTAAGTTTTGCGGGTGGTTTTCAGACGGCCTTACGTCGCTGCAATTTGGAATTCGAAGGCACGCCATAATTCACTTTCTGAAAGACGGTATTTCGCCCTGCCTTTGTTAGGCAAGGATACATTACGTACTTTTGGTGGTTTTACAATTTACAAACACTACGGTAAGTTACGAGAATTCAGTTGACACAATTTTCTACTCATTTTCAATTTTACCATGAGGTGCCATCGAAGCAAAAGCGAAAATTTCTGCAGGCTAGGATGCAGTTAAGGAAGGAAATTTAAACGGTTGACTTACCGTCAACTTGCCGAAGGCCAGACCAACGTGTCCTGTGAGGGTAGCAACTGTGAGTATATGGGCTTTCTTTCGAGCATCCTTCGCTGTCAGATTTTTAATCTAGATTTTGAATTCGACAGTTAGCTTATTTTAAGAAAAAAATCAAACATGTTCACCAAATCTTACATTCGCTTCCGCAAGGTCCGTTGGTTATCCATAAATATTGAGCGGTTATGCTGCTGAAGCTGATGTATTTCTGCTCAAATATTCATAGTACCTTTCGGACCGAGCCTAAAACGCTTCATTTCTGCTGATTTTCTCCGATTTATTTTGGTAATTTTTGCGGAGGTTATAAACCGAAAAGTGTACAGGCCTTTAATTATCATGGATCCACTGTTTCTTATGGTGCTTTTCCTGTTCAAAATTCAATATAAGTTTCAGCCATTATTAATTTGTTTTGTCAAAGTTTGTTTTCAAACTGCTGTCCGCTGTGGCCCACGTCCTCCTGCTATTTTAAAACAGTGTGATCATTGTTTAATGGCGACATTGTTGATTTTTTAGGGCAGACTTTATTTTTAAGGGCCTCAATACAAAGTCCAGACGTGTGGGGTCTGATCGGTAAGGCGGGAACTTCGTGTGGTCCCTTCTCCCAATCGACCTGTTTGAAAAGATTCCAACAAACAAGCATCTTACATCACGATGATCATGTAGGGCTGCCCCATCGTGCTGTTCATGACTTAAGCTATTCTTATTCCATTGTATTAAAAGTGAAAGGAAAAAAAATCTATCGAACTATCGGCAACCTATGTATGATAACATTCCCAACAACCTGAAACAATGCATAACAAGGATTCTCGTGAGTTCAGAAATGTTTAACTGTGTGTGTGATTGAAATCGGTTGACAGAAACAGACTCCTAAGCCTTCCACCTGCGTTGGTTACAGTTGCAAGGGATGTTTCAGGCACCCTTTTTGTCATTAAGTGCGCTCAAGATTGAAAAAACCACCTATGTGAATGACAAACTGTCCCTAAAGATTGCACATTTTGACATATCAGAAGGGTGTAATGAGGAATTCGAGACAGAGTCGTTTCTCTGATCCCCGGTCCTTTCTCTTAACCACTCTCATATCACTTTCTCCTCAGCCCTTTAAGTTTACGGGGAGGGGAAACAAAAACTTACATCTTCTATGCAGTCTGTGATGAGGTCCACCATGACGTTGCGACCCTCGGCATCAGTGCTTCCGATACGACTACGGATGCCCGCCTTGGATTTAATGATTTCATCCACAAGGTACATGTCCGCGCCAAGGCCGTTGCGCACGAAAGCCATTTTGCCGTGAGCGTTCAACTTTTTCGGCTCTAACAGATCCAGAGCCTTGAAGAAACCGGCAACACTGGCCGCTCCGCACTTGTCGTTATGCATGAAGAGCATGTTTCCGCCTGTCTTAATACTTGCGCCGCCGGTGTCGAAGGTGATGCCCTTGCCGACGAAGTAGAGTTCTTTGTCCACCGCAGTCTCAGTTGGAGAACGGTATTCCAGGGTGACGTAGCGAGCATCGTATTTGGTGTCTTAATGGTGGCACAAGATAAACATAATTGCACGTGTTGGACATTGTAGAGGTGGTAGCAAAGCGCCTTCGGTTGTTTTGCCGGATTTTCTGTGAATGCTTATTTTCAGATGAGATAAACCCTATTTTCTTAGCTAACAGCGTGCCTGGGGACAATTATCATTCGTTTGGACAAAAAAGCAATTTCAAAATAATTGTAAAGTAACTCTTAACGCCTCGAGGCCTAAGTGGTTTACTCGAAGTCTTCTTAAATCCATCCGATCTTACGCACCCAAATTCCGAACTTTAATCTTTCATATCCGATGATTGTAAGTCCAATATTTCTGATGGGAAAATAAATTCGCACCGACTGGATACTCTAGTCCGGTGTATAGAAGAACGCATAATACACGACTACTCGCGTATTTAATGTTCTAAGGTTTCAGTTCGAAGCTGAAATACAACTCAGTTATATATATCCAGGGCTAAATCATCCTTGTTCACAGAATCAAAAGATGCGATGTATGCACAGATAGATGCCCGTTTCAACAAGACGCGTCCGGCCAACTGTGTTTTATTATTTTACTGAAATCAGTTAAGTAAAAGTTATTTTTATTAAATATCCAGAGTATGACTGTAAGCCGAAAATTAGGGTCAGTTTGTAATCCAACTAGTTCGCAAAACCAAAAATAATGCAATTAAACAGGCATAAGGCCGATAAATATGTGAGCAGTTACACAAATTTTGAGAAAATATCAGCCTTCAAACCAGCCTCTGAGAAAATATGAAGGTTTTCTAGCGCGGATCGGTTTTATCCTAGTTTAAACAGCTAATGGATACAGAGTACAGCTAGTTACTTGGTGGAACATAGTCAGTGAGAAGACGGAGTTTGACAAACCCATAACACAGACAGAAAAAATAGTAGTTTACCGCTGGAAATCTAACTCATATGCAAGTTTTAGCGACGGCAGTGAAAGTGAGGTGCAGTTTATTCTCGTGAAGAGTGAGCGGCATCGATTGCTAATAGGGACGAAGAGGAGAGTTCCAGGAAGAAATCGGAAAGAAGGTACAATCGCTGGAACAAGAGCTTTATTCGTCTGACCCTTCAGATTCCTGCTCGAAACCATCATCAGAGACAGTAGCAGAGACGGGGCTGCATTGCTTATAGGATTTACTTGCCCTGTTACCGCATACTTATGAAGATTCCCGGCTCCCCCCATCATTTGGGATTGTTGGACTTAATATGCTGACCGTTCTTTGACCGACATTCGCGTCGTCAGTCATTGCGATTTCACCACGGATGTTGGGTGTTAATGTGATGATTGGTCAAAATGTCTGAAAGCCAGTAAGGTCTATGCCAGCATCAGCAAACAATGGCCCTCGCAGCCTGGTATGGGCTGACAGTTCCCTGACACCTGGTTCCATGCCGGTTGATGCGCTTGCGCTCCCGCTGGGTACCAGGCTGTGGGCATGGCTGTCCAGTCATCATCCTCGTCGCATTCTGACCCCTGTCGGGTTTTTGGTGTTGGTGACAAATCCCGGTCAAGTGTATGTTGTGGACCAGGGGTGTGGAGTGGGACGCCAAGATGCGGGTCCAGCCGTGCCATCCACCTGCGCCCTCCCCCGCCTCCGGTCTTCGTGACTCAGTCTTTACACCGGGTCCAGGTGGAGGAGGAGAGAGTGGTGTAGAGGCCATGCAAGTCTGTAGTGGCCAGCCATCGTGACTGGTCTGGCGTCATTGTTCAAGGCTTCGCTGCCTCAAGGTCATTCACCCCTTGCAGCGAGCCGTCCCAGACGAGCCGACCCGAAGTCACACGACCAACAGCTCGGGCATACCTGCGTCCGCCCGCGCAGTCACAGCTGCCCATGCGGCCACTTGAACGCGCCAACCCCTGAAACCCGCAAAACAGGCCACTGGGACACCACCCCTCAACAAATGCAACACACTGACTGGACACCACTTGAGCTTGGCCCACGAGCCTACAAGAGCGGCTGCCACCACTATCTCAGGCCTGACTAGACGCAGTCAACACCAGTCCTGGCTTCGCCAGTGGCCACTGCCGCCTGAGAGGACAACTCCGGGTTCTGTGCACAATAAACCCCTCATTCTGGTCCCTTTTTTCTTCTCCCTACAGCTGGGGATCCGATCCGATAATGGTAGCACCCAGAGTACTTACTATCTCTACGCCTGATCTCAACATGTCTATTATCACTATAAACTAATTCACGTACAAGTCACCGTCCCTGCTCTCACCTTGTTGTGGAGCACACGGTGGAAATCGTCGAAAATGACAGCCGAACTGTCGGTCTGATGATTGCTCGATCATCTAATCCATGGACACTGGCGTTGAGAACATTGTTCGTCTGTGCGCTCCCGCATAGTTAATTACTCCGCCTAGGCGAAGCCTCAGCAGGTGAATATGGAAGGAGGAGGTCGTTGCGCCCTTTAATAGACCGGGGGGCAATAACCCATGACTCAAGCAGCTCTCGACTCACGCTAGCGCTTGGTTAATTTGTGTTTTACGTCAGGATAACCAGGAAAAAACTAAGTCCAAAATATCGCAAAACATAGTAATCGCCTAAATTGTAAAAAATCGACTTACTGTTTACAGCACGGTTGACAGAAGCAATCATGCGGTAAATATCCGGATTAATATCAACATGTCCGACTGTTACTTTTGAGTTTTTGAAGGCATCTTTTATGTAGTCGTAAGCTGCTATGGCCGTCATTCGCTCCTCGTCTGTGCCACAGATGTCTCTTGTGACATATCGTGCAGTTTCAATCTTTGCAGCAATCTTAACGATATTCTCGGTTCCATTGAAGAAGCCCAAAAGGTCGTATTTCGGGAACGAGTCCTTTCGGAGCTGTCGCGTCGTGAGAGGCTAAAAACAAGAATAAGCACTCCGCTAAAAAAATCATGTCTGTTCTTCCAGAGGCAAATAACATACCAATAAAACACGTAATGGCGCTCCAGATGTCAAGAAAAAAATGAAATATAAAACAATTTTCTGGTTCACTGAGGGCGAACTAAAGCGGTAACAATGAACAGCCTGGGACCTCTTCTCCATGAAGTTTAAAGGTCGGGGGTTTTTAGTCACAGACACTAGCAGAAATGGGTGAATGTAAAGTTGAGAGGCTTTTGGTTAAATTTCTGACGTCCTTTGAAAAGGTTCAAATTTCAAAAATTTCCAAACTACGTTTATATTTGTAGTAGTTTTTCGGGCTTATCCATTTAGAAGAAGTTTTGTCGATCAGTAATTTGTAAATACTAAATTTCTGACCGCTCGAAGTCTCACGTAAAGTGCAAGATGAAGCGCAGTAGAGCCGGGTATTTCGAAGTATAATTAAATCTTTCGTAAAAGAGAGGTGCATTTGGCATTTTGCGGGTCAAAAATAATGAAACATCGGCCACTACTCGTGGATGCCTTTCGAAAAAGAATTCCTTATATAAATACTATCAAACCATGTTATGAAGAAGGAGGCACGATCGCTGGAGCAAGAGCTTTATTGGTCTGACGTTTCGGATTCCTGTTCGAACCCATCATCAAAAACAACAGCAGCTACGGGTGATAGGTTCGAGCAGAAATCCGAGCCGTCAGGCGAATAAAGTTCTTGTCCCAACGATTGCATCTTCTTCGCGACTGCGTCCTGGGGCTCGTCTCTTCACTTTTATTGGCAAACCATGCTTTCCTGACTTTTGCTTTTACCCCTGAATCTATTTAATCTTAGAAAAGTTATTCTTGAAGAAAGAATAACTTTGGCGATATTTCTGATGAGAGGACTGCATAAACATTCGTTTTAACATGGGAGTAGTGTGGTATCCAGGACCTTCGGAAGAAACGTGAGACATGGGTTACCTCCTCCGAGTACATAAATCAACGAATCAGAAGCGAAAACTAAATGGTCTGTATGATAACCTCATTGAAGACTGCTTAGGCAAACAGTCATCTTGGATGGTTCTTTGAAGGCAGAGTAGAATACAGACTTACCACATAATACGCTTGAAGGGCACCCAATAAGGCTATCAGCGTAGAGTGTGGAGTTCGTAGCCAAGTGTGCTCAATTTGGGAGTTGTTGCGGGGAGCACTCGCGAATGGACCCAGCACCAAAAGAGGTTTTCTCAGACCCTGTTTAATAACTCTGTGAAAGTCAGAAAAAACCGTAATGGGTGAAAGACAAAATTAAAAAACAAAACTAAGCAGCATAGTTGCGTCGAGGAACAATGTACGGTAACCGTTGTCTGTATATATGTTGTTGCTTAAAGCCCGCATGAATGTCTCGGGTTGACCAAACTGCTCAAACGCGATAAGCGGAATTCGAATGATTAGTTCGAGGTTTCTCAAATAGCATTCATTTTAAATGTTATATTTTACGCGTACCAAAAAGGGACTTGTACAATGCCAAGCTTAAACTTCAGATTTATATATTTCCTATCGAAACCAGCAGGACAAAGGGCCTGTGGTTCAGTGGTTAGAAGCATTGGACTTCTAATTAACAGGTCGCGAGTTCGAGCCCTAGGTGTTCCACACTTCGGGGTCGATTATGACTGGCTGACGACAGCTAATAAGCCAGAAGTGGTCATTCCAGCCTCCCTTGTCTTTGCCGGTAATATCATTCTGCCTATATCATGCGCCGCTGTGCGGCTGCTGGTTGGGTTCGAAAGAGAGAGGGAGCCCGTCAAGCACAGTGGAGCGAGTATGTTCTGCAAGGACGATCGATGAACGCCCCTCTACCAAATTATTTTCTCTGTGAAACCGTTCGCACTCGTGGGCGAAATAAAACGTTGCATCTCCTATGTCGACAACTGTCATAGACTACATCTGCATATCTGCGTGTGCCTCTCTGGTCGAAGTTATCAGTCCAGAACAAGAAATGTTTGCCAAGACAATTTTCGCTAACTCTAGACGTTCTTTGTAAGCCTGCCTAAGTCCAGTGCGGCGAGATGTGAATAGGCACGCCACTTTCAAATATACAGAAGTTCCTTATTCTTGAAAAATTTCCATTTACGAATCTATTCAATGTTTTGTCGAAAAACCAGTCAAGACGCCCACGAGTTACCTTTGTTTAACCCCACCCGTACATTCCATGAGTATAGGCGAAAAGGGGGCCTATAGTGCAGCTATTTTGGCTACTGGGCAGAGTATTGTTTGCGCTGTCTAAGTCCTGTTAATAAGAGTTTTGGAAAAGGCCCAGAACAACATAAGCTGTTTAAGAATTACTACAGCACTAGCATAGCCGCTCAAGAGAGCATTTGTAAACCACTCAAAATCTAAGAACCATGTCTAAAAGTAAGCAAAAATGAAGAAAACGACTGCAGCCTAAAGACGATAGAAAGTTTTTTCGTCTGTCACAGAAAGGTTGTAAGAGACAAACCTACTAGTTGGGCACAGCGAGTAGGCTATCCGGTAAGAGAAAATAGCAGTATCTCCCAATAGTTACAAACTAGTAAATAAGAACAAAGTCGTCAGCAGGTAAAAGTGTACGTGCGTGTTCTTTTTCTTATTCAAAGTTGTGACAAAGCGTATTGTAACTGATTAAAACAAAACGGACTTAAATGTCACTACACGGTCATTAGTATTTTTCGAGGTATTGCATAATCGGAGAAAGTACTCGAAGGCTTTCTTTGACTCTGCTCTTGAAAAGGCGAGGGACATAGACATTAATCGTAAATTCCGCCAGTAAGACACTCTTTAGAGGGATAATTTATCAGAGAAGGGCTTTCACTTGACCCAGAGCTTATTTATCATGACCCTCCTCTTCGTCCGTTTATTTCGTCTGGCAATTAAGTTTCATGTTTAGATGGACCTACAGTTTGGTACAAACCCTACTCACATGGAATAGAAGGCAAGATTGCTCACAGCATATGTAAACACTTGCAAGAGACTATCTTATTTTTGAGGTTTTTACAAGTTCACACTTAATAATCCATTTTTACGGACACGGTCGAAAATTCTGAAAGTCGCAAAGTATTTAAGGACGTCTTGAAAGAACATAGCAAATTTACAGAAACAGCATTCACCCAATGTACATAAAACGGTATGTTTGTATTTGCAGCTGTTAGTTATATTTTAATTTATTGATCATCTACTGCACTCCCACATGAGACTTTTTAGACACTCTTATTCCTGTGAAGTCAAAATCAAACTCTATCCTCTTTGCCTTAGCCAGCTTCATTTCGTTCAATGGAGAACGGAATCAGATCACCGAATTTTGGTGACGAGCTGCCATACTATATGACATATTAGTTATTTAAGGACATTTGCACTGCTAACTATTCAAAAGTTTTTCGAAAGTTATTTTGCTTTTTCCGTTTTACTTTCTCACCTCTTCGCATAGACAGTCTTTATATACTTCTACAAATTAGATTCACTCATTTGGCACGAGCATTCGAGCTTTTGACACCTTCGTTATTCTTGAGAAAATTACTGCTTCTACCAACATAATAAAACCTTCAATATTCCTTTTTTCTGTTTTTTTCTAACTCAGGGTTGTTCAATACTATTTGCCTGTTTTGGTTTATGTACTTGAGTTGGTTTCAGGGTAATTAGAGATCTATCGCGAAATCACGTTTTTTTCCGGGAATAAAATCACTTTTAAAAAAAAAGAAGAAAAGCAGCTAAGGGGTCTACGTGCGGCTTGTCTGTATCGGAACCTTCAGGATCGCCTTGCATTCTTAAATTTGTCAGGGGACACTTATTTTTGCTTTAACTGACAATGTGTACAGAATAGGATTACCGACAGTGGCAAGAGGGAATGGAATGGCTATTTCTGGCCTATTAGCCGGCCATGCCCAACCTTAGATTTTGTAATCTCTGGCACTCGGACCCGAGTCCTATTGGTTAGAAGTCCAACGCTCTAGCCGTTGAGCCACAGGTTCGTTGTCTTGTCAGCTGCGGTCGGATACATTAACAATCGCAGATGGGGCCTCACCGATCGTGCTATGCAACATAATCTTCCCATCAGGCAGTGTTGAGCATAAATGAAGTTCAAAAACTGCACTTCAAGAAACGGGCTTAGCAAAAGACCAAGTTCATTAGCAGCAGGAAACGCTCCTTGTATGTATTTCTGAGACTGATTTCATTGCTCCCCATTTCCAACAAACAAAGCTCTACCATCTAAAGATTAAATAAAGCTGAGACCTCCACTCTGGAAGAGGAAATAATCGGACAGAAACTAGGCGGCCTTTGGAATTATTCCTCAAAAGCGGATTCCAGCATGATTTTGCTGGTCGATGCGTGAGAGGACAAAGTCAGGACAAAAAGATGCCCCAACGTTGTGACTGCCCATAAACCACAACCGTCATTAACTCCTCCGGTAGAGGAGAGTGGGTCGTAATCTGGTGAATGGCAGCCAAAAAATAAGAGGTAGAATGTTATTACCGACAAAAACAAGGGAGACAGTCTCCCTTGCCTTTGTCTGTAATGACATTCTGCCTATATCATGCGCCGCTGTGCGGCTGCTGGTTGGCCTCGAGAGAGAGAGCCCATGAGGCACAACGAAACGAGTGAGTTCCGTAAGAACGATCGGTGAGCGCCCCCTACCATCAAAATACGAGGTGAAAGCTTCGCACAAATCTGAGGACAGTGTTGACCATTCACATGCGGCAGTTGTGGCTGAACCAGTAGTTATCCTTTTTGGGCGAAATAGTCGAAGGGCTGTGTTTGCTCGGTATTCTTATGGTTCCGCATGACTGTCTTGCTCTAGTCATGGCGTATGTAGTGATGTATGACTTTATAGGCCGCAGAAAGGTCTAGAAGCCTGTTGACGGAGTTGGCATCTGAGCACAAACGGAAATTGCAGACCCGCCCACATGAGCACCAACTGGCAACTCGGGGACGTAGCGAGCCCTGAACTTCGGTTGGTACTTGGTGAACGCCACGTGTTCTGTTCGCTGAAGTAGCACTTCAGTTATCAATCCTAAGGAGTAGTAACATAGACCCTATCTCACAGCTTGCGACTCACATCGGAGAAACTGGCCACAGTTTTGACTTTCGAGGAACAGCCGCCTTAGGCCGGGGCGCCTCAAGGATAGAACGTCACGCGGAGCTTAAGAATACCGAGTAAACACAGCCCGTCGACTAATTCACCCAAAAGAGGAAGCACAAACGCAGCTAGGCCCGATTGAGGTGACGTCACGCAACACAGGAGGCCACCAACACTCACAAACGACGGCCAGTAGGCCAAAGCAACGAAAGAAGAAAAACATCGATCAGCCCAAGGTTAACTAATTCGGCTGCCTTTTTAAAATTCTGATCGATTTTTGCACTAACCGCTTTGATAATGGAGATCCGGCCAAGCTCTTTGAAGCGTCAGTAAGACAATTTCCTCGATCCGATCAGCACTTCTTTTTCTTCACATACATATCTATTTAAAAACGGGCATTGCAGCTAATTGGACTCTAAGTTTGAAAAAACTTTCCCAAGACTGGGTAACTTAAGACCATAAAGTTCTTGACACTGGTTGCTCAAATTGTCGCCAGCTGTAGAGCAGAGCTGTTGACTTGCTACAGGGGACAAAAATCAGTGATTGTCTGCCGTCTGAGCTTTTGAACACTTACTGCGAGCCACCATCACGTTTTGATTGGTTACAACAGACATCATTACTGTCAATCGTTCTTGGTTTTCCAAATGTTATGAATGAATGGAAGCATAATTTCGACGTGTTCTTAGCTCACGGGAGTGTAAGATGGCCGTATCAAATGATCGCTTAGTGGTTTCTTCATGCAAATTTTAAAACCTTTATAGCGTTCGCATAACCTTACTTGAGTTTCTCGATACCAGTTGCTTGAACCTGTGTTAGCAGCGCTGGGGAGGTGGACGAAAGAGCTTATTTCCATCGAATAAATTCATCAGGAGAAAAATATTTTGGGATTAAGATATGCTATTTTGAGCTGGCTGATCGACAGCATGACTTGCAGTGAGTGGACGACCACATAAAATGTCGGCCAAAATTCTGAAATGCGTCTGCGATTGGGAAGGATTACTTAGATGGAGTTTTAATACTGATTGTCATACGGCACAGCCCTATAAGATTTCGAACTTGGCGGGATGTAGGTTATTGAATGTACCCCTTTTCAATGCCCTGTAGAAACCGTGCCTGGTAAAGAATGACTACTTAAAGAGGATGCATTTTTCGCATCGATTTTCGATGGTCCTAAAAACTCAAATATATTTTATGAAAAATATAAACAAAAATATTTTTTCGTTCGTTTGGTAAAGAATCGCGTCATCTTCATATTTTACGCTCGAAGAAGGAGTAAAATTAGGTTTTAAAAAGTTTTCTGATTCCCGAATAATTTGGAGCCTAATCAGTCGTTGCACTAGCACCTAGTTATTTCAGTCTACAAGGTGCGTGCGTTCCGCGTGAGGAAACTCACATATTCTTTTATGCCTTTAAAAAGATACCATATTGGGTCCATAAAATTTTGCAATGGATGCGGACTATGTTGTAAATTTCATGAAGAGCAGCGGTAAACGGACAGGTACGATACTGTATGAATGGACATTGTACGGTCTTAAAAAGTCTCATAATTAGAAAGTATCTAAAACCTTATTACATTCATTCTTCGAGTGTAAAGTACGAAGATGACATGATTCTCTGTCAAACGAGCGAAAGAAAAATATCTTTGTTCATGTTTTTTTATAAAATATATTTGAGTTTATAAAACCATTGAAAACCAATTTGAAAAATGCACGCTATTTAAGTAGTCACTCTTTACCAGGCACGGTTTCTAAAGGAGATTGAAAAGAAGTGCATTCAAAAGCCGACATCCTGCCAAGTCCGAAATATTATGGGACTGTGCCGTATGATAATCAGTATTATAACTCCATCTAAGTAGTCCTTCCCAGTCGAAGACGCATTTCAGAATTTTGGCAAACATTTCATGTGATCGGCCACTCAATATAATAGCCACCGGTTTCACTGAGAGTGACCATACATTCCTAACGGAAACTCTAGCATAGAGCTGCAAGAGTAAACTTTCAGGAGCTGCTAGTAGGAACAGAAAACGTTGACTCTTTCATTCAATACGAACTTACAATTCAATTGCCTTCCTAGCTGCGTTGTACAAGTATCGACTGTCCGTCGTATCCTGATTAAGAGCTCCAGTAGGTGAGTAAATCTAGAAAAAGCGTCAGATGTTTAAGTAGTAAAGATGAACAAATTTAAAATCCTGTGCCTAATTTTTGCAGAAAACTTTCGGAATGCGCTGATCTTTTGTGAGGAAATTTTGACACATGAACAGAAGTTGATGACATGCAAATATGCATAGCGCGCGCTTGAATAGATTAAAATGATCCACATAATAGTGAAATGGTAACAATGTAAAAGGTCTTTTTTAAAAAGTTTTCATTAATTTACCAGGCGCTTTGAAGGGTGTTTGAGGAAGGGGACGACTTCAGTTTTCGAGCCAAGTTTCTGGTTCAACTAGTCATTGAAAAAAATTGTTAATGTTCTGAATCAAGGAAGATAGTTAAAAGTGCAAAATTATCTTTTATGAGTGCTTATGACAGATTTGCATCACTCATCCGACCCATTTGCAAGGAATTCGGCAGCCTCAACTGGATTCGAAACCACGACAGAAAAATGCAAGATTTGACTACAGCAAACTTTCGAACCACCTGAGTTACGAAGCGCCGCACCGGGAGTCGTGGGTTTAGGCACTTTCGGACCAAGCTGCCGGCCAGTTTACTAAAACGTGTGCAATTCATCAAATCTGCTACAGTAGGCTGACTGTCCAAGCAGGATTTCATGAGCAATCAGTATGGCAAACATCGGATGACTACCCCGCAGATATACACAATTTATCTGACCTCCTTTTTACCAGGTTTAAGTCCCCGTCTTTCGACTAGGATGTATTTAAACAGCAGGAGAAGGACTGACTGGAGTCGTCCAAAAAACAGCCGTTCTACTACTTGGCATGTGTAATGCCTATCACAAAAACTTGAGAACACAACAGCTGCATCAGAAACGGGGCATTCATGAACAAAATTATAACCTTTAACTACAAAAGTCGTCAATAAGCAGATGGTGTCAAGGAACGGTATCCGCCACAATACCACAAAGTGATAAGAGCATGAATATATGTTCATAACGAGGCAGATTTCTGAGGCATCTGCAACGCACCGTATGCCAGTGGCCGGCATGATGCGTAAAAACGAGCAGAAAGATGTTTAAGTGCGAGAGACAAGGACATTCAGTTTCAAAAAATAACTTACCATTTTATACTGTTTTAGCTCATTTTCAATGTCTGTGAGAGCACCTCCTAGTCCTTCAATGTTATCATTAATTAAGACAACAACATCGTATTCTGAGCTCATGAGATTTGTTTCATCCTTCAGGTTCGGAACGATGTCCTGGGCCTGAATAAATCCCGCAGTCAGGACCAAACAAGTGAAGACAAGGACTGCGACACGCATTTTGACGGCAGGCTTACTGACAAGGCAGTTTTGCACATTTATATGTCAGCACAAAAAAGTCGTTTACAGCGGCGAACACGGGTGCATCAGGGGCGGCACTTGTTTCTCGCCAATCAGACAGCCGTTGTGATGATAGCCCTCCAGCTATTATCGATATGTAGTACAGGGAATTTCAATGAGCAGAACGTCTGTTCACAAAGATTTTGGTCTAACTTTTGACTTCAGCAGAAGTTAATTATCCGTAGACCTGCTGATCATTAAAGACAAAGCGCACACACATAAAGGTGGGCTAACAGCAAGTAGGCGATAAACTGACGATAGCCTGCCTGCATTCTTGTCTCGCTCTACGAGACCCCCGTGCAAGTATCGCTTGATGTCTAAAATGTGACATTCCATGCTGCCTTGACGTTAGTTTTCCCATACGACATCAGCTGGCCCGGTCTGGAAGTCCTTAAAATGTTGAATTCTGACGGTGGGCAGGTTATTTTCCGGGGACATTTCCAATTTCACCGCTTCCTTTCCGCCTAGTAGACGCTTCTACTGTAGTAAAGGTGCTGGCAGTCGTTAAAGTGCAAGGATTTCATTGGTTGATTTCGACATGTCACTGTCAGTCGGCGTTCCCTAGATGCGTCCACAGACAGAGTTCTCCCATTCAGTGCTTATTCTCTAAGTCTCAGGCCGCGCGAACACGTCACAGACAACACCACAGGATAGATTTCATGGAGACCTCGAAAACACCTATCAGGTTATGGGGCGTGCTCGCTCCATTACGCCTCGTAGTTAAACTTGAAATCCCCACAATCAACTGAGTGACCACTAGTAATTAATACAAAGAGGAGCATAGATAGAGAAAAGGAAAACTGGGATGGTCATTTCGGAGTTATTGCCCATCATAAGCCATACCTGATTAACCTCAGTTTAGAGAAATCTGGAATTCGAACCCCTGTGCTATGAGAGAGAGATGCTTTATTTTGAAAATAACATTTAAAAATTTCAGCAAAAACGGTTCTCCAGTACACAGTGATTGCCATAGAGATTGACAGGTATAGGAAAGGTGGACATAATTATATATAAAGAAAAAAGGACTTTAAGGTGCAAGATCGGGATAGGGTAAATGGGCTAACTCATGAAATGTCGGTCGGAATTTCAAAATGCGTTTTCGTTCCGAAAAGATTACTTAAGTAGAGTTCTAAAGCTTATCATCCAGCAGCAAAATTCTATAATAATTCAGTTACCTCAGGATGCCGGCTTTCGAATGAACTTCTCTCCGACTGCATGTAGAAGCCATATTTTGCAAAAAATGACTACATATGTAGCATGCAATTTTTCATTGGTTTTTGATGCCCTTAAAAATCCTATTGCGGTTCTTGCAAAACATCCATAAAAATTATTCACTTATTCATCCTTTTGGTAGAAAATTAGTCCTCCTCCAATTTTATACTCTAAGAAAGTGTATAATTTGGTTTTCAAAAACTTTTCCAATTCCCGAATAATTTTGAACCGCGACCTCCCGTTACACTCGCTTTCCGGTTTCCAAACTACAAGCGCTATATTTTCCGCATACGGAAAACCATACATTTCTTTACGGTATTGAAAAAAGACCAAGGGGTTCCATAAAATGAAGCAGTGGATTTGAGCCATATTGTTAACTTTACAAGCTATATTAGTAAATACAGAGACATGACGTTTTATGAAAGGCCATTTCACGGTATCGAAAAATCCCACGGTTAGCATTTTTTTATAACCGAACTATGCTCTTCTTTTAAGAACAAAGTTGGAAAAGGACACCCTTTTCTACCAAATGAGCAAAAGGGTGAATATTTCAAGCATTCTTCCACGGAATATGATTGAATTTTTAAGGGCATCGCAAATCAATGAGAAAAATTCATGCCTATTAAGTAGTCATTTTTTACAGAGTACAGTTTTTGCATGCAGCCGGAAAAAAGTTCATTCGAAAGCTAGCATCCTGCGGTAAATGAAATATTATAGAATTATGTTGAAGGCTGACTAGTTTTACAACTTTACCCAATTAAACTTTTCGAAACGGAACGCATTTCTAAATTTCGGCTGACATTTCATGAGTTTGCTCACCTACTGTATTTTTAATGGAGACCTCGAAAACACCTATCATGTTATGGGGTGTGCTCCTTCCCTTACTCCTCATAGTTCAACTTAAAGCCCCCACAACCAGCTGAGTGACGACTACTAATAAATACAAAGAGGAGCATAGATAGAAACAAGGAAAACCGGGATGATTATATCGGACTTATTACTCGTCATAAGTTATTCCTGATTAACCTCAGTTTTGAGAAATCTGCAATTCGAACACCTGTGCTATGGTCATCTAACTTTAAGTCCAACGAAGTTCGAACCCAAAGTCAGCCAGATATGGGGTTAGGCATGATTGACTGTAAACTGATAACTGGTCAGGGTTGGTTATTCCGGTCTCCCTTATTTTTGTAGGCAATTCTTCCCACGGATGTCCTATTATAATCCGTTATATACCGCCACATGCAAACCAGTCCTGCCAGCATTTTCTGTTATTATTATCCAGGGTTTTTCTCCTCTAAAATTAATCCAAGTGGAGTTTTTTTCACCGTCCGCTCATCATTTTCCTTAACGGACTACAAATTCAGAAACTATAAATTGCATTTTGTACAGATTCTATCTACCTCGTATAAAATTCTTATGTAAATTTATTTCTACTTGCTTTGATGGGACCTCGACGAGTCTTTAACAAAAAATTATTATTATTATTATTATTACCATTATTATTTTTGCCTAATTCTCAAGACCTCATTCCGTATAACGAAAAGCCATGATCTTCGGGCAAAACGCTTGCTAACCAGAATACTTGACCTTATGGAATCGGAACTGTACATGCAAATGTAGTTCAACGATAGTAATTTCTGCGTTTTCTTAAACGTTTCCGCAATTTAAAGGTACTTAGTCTTTGGGTTGGCGGGAATGTATCGCTGTCGCCTCGTGGACTTGTAAGTTCCAACACTACCAGCACAAAGTGGACCCCAGACTGACCAGGACACTTTGACGTGTTGCTTTCTAGAGTCAGCGCTCGCTTACTGCCATTAACGCATGTATACATCTACCCCATTTGGAATTCTCTGTAAGTCACAGCAAGAAAATTCAGCAAATCATGGGCTCAGTAGTCGAGTCTTGCCATTTTTTGCCACAAATACTTGAGTAAATATTACAGACCACTTCAAACAATTCGTTCGGAGAAAGCATATGGTCATAGTTGAAAACATGAGTCCACTTACACGATAACAAGGAAAAGGTCGAGGTCACGAGTAGGAACGCGAACGATTAGACTACCTGTTCGGAGATGCTTTAAAGCTTTTTGTACATCATTCAGTAGTCCATGTGTCATGCCCGATAGAATTCGCTATACACAGACCAAAAACTTTAAATAGACTGTCCAAGGTCAAACTTACTTAACTGCCGTTGCAGTCTTGATCGGCACGTTAAGTCATGCATACTAACAGGCTCACTTTAACCAGAGCATCATTCAGCTCATCTGCACACATCGCAATCGGTAAAGTCTTCCTCTAGGTGGAATACATTGTTCTGACTTTTCGGTGCTTCATACATTCAGAGAAAGCCTCACGGGACATTTCACACTTCGGTTTACCGCAAAGAAACCTACGCGGAAGTTCTTTTGCATTACGAGAGCAATCACCCGATCTCTCACAAACGGAGTGCCATGAACAGCCTCCTTAACCGAGCAAGAACCCACTGCTCTGACAACGAAACATATCAAACAGAACTGAATTATTTGTTCAAACTGTTTTCCCAGAATGGGTATCCTAGATATTTTGTACACCGATGCATGCGACGACAGGAGTTAAAAGAAAAAGAGAAGGAACTAGATTGTTCCGATCAGGCGCCCAAACCTAAAAACTGGCGAACACTTCCATACATTAAGAATGTGTCCGAACTAGTTGAAAGACACCTGAGGAAGCACCAGATACATGTGGCGCACAAAACGACGACTACACTTCGTAACCAGCTTGTACACCCTAAGGATAGGGTTGGCTATCTAGATAAGAAGGAAGTCTTCTATAAGATACCATGCAACACATGTAATGCGGTTTACTGTGGTCAAACCGGGAAATCGGCCTCTACACGAATACACGAACATCAGTTGGCCGTAAAAAGGCGAGACTACTTGTCTCAAGTTGCCATGCATACGTTGGAAACCGGACACAAATTCGCCTGGAACAGGACCCGCAATTGTAGGTGTCTGTTCATCTAAAAAGGGCCGTGAATTCTCAGAGGCCATCCATTCTGACAACGCATGCATCAATAGACACATAGAATTGGATACGGTGTACAACAGCCTCAAGGAAAAGTGGAAAAGGCATTAGCCAATCAGAGCAAGACACCAGCAGGAATGACAAAGCAAAATCGATTTTTCGGCATGTTTAAATGTTGACTGTTTTGCACATTAACTTCACGTCTGAAGACGACTTGGGGAACCAAGATCGAAAATTTACAATAAACCTTGTTAATCTTTCCCAAAGAGCTTATTTCTTTCGAATTATGATTCTTGGGATGCCTGTTTTCAAATTCATGCATTCACTTTTTATAGCTGCACTATGGTAAATTGCATTTTCAAATTTTGTGAAAGAAGGAAGCCCATTGATGTTTTGGCAGATTTTGAATAATTCATATTGACCCAACTGTGAAAAACTCGGCGCCTCGGTGGGATTCGAACCCACGCAGTAAGGGGAAGGCTTTAGCGCAGCCAATGCTCTAACCACCTGAGCTACGAGGCCCCGCCGGACGACGCGAGTTTAATCACATTTGGGTCAAGGTACCCGCCCAACCTTCTGCAACGTCTGGAATCCACTAAATCTTATAAAGTAAGTTGACTGCACAAGCAGAATTTCCTAAGTAATTCACCTAGAATCCACCAGATGACTACCAGGCTCGCGTAATTCATTGGTGTTTCGCCTTAAAGAGTTTGCAGTTAAGTAAAC